GAATGACTTTTTGACTAATTACGAAAAGATATGCAAAAAATAGATAAAAAAAAATTTTTTTGATTTTTTGATATGAATTATTAACTTTTTGACTAAAAATATAACTTTTTAATTTTTTAACTAAAAAGGTAAGTCCTCAGGCATTACTTGGTTCATGGCTTGGTGATTGAATGGCTGTCACTGGACTGGAGAGACCACCGTCCATGAAGTTTCGAGTACTCCCTCTTCATAAATGTTAGCATTGAAAACGTGTAAAAATATTTTAAAATATATAAAAATATATTGGATTATAAATTTTTAAACATATTGTTCTGTTAATAAAAATATGTACAAATATATTAAATTATAATTTTTTGATATATTGTGGTGTTTACTAACAGAGTTTGGACCTTTAATATTATTGTATAAAGCATTTTAAAATTATATAATTCTGCCTTGATAAATTTTTTTGGAAAATTTTAATATCCTCCCTCCTTAATGTAATAAGTTTTGAAAGAATACCAATTAATTTATTTCTTAAAAAAATTAATACCCAGTACTTGATATAATTGCTTGTATTTTATATTTTGCCTATATGTATGATATAATGTAGAGTGTGAATAATAGAAAAAAAGTAATGGTACAAAAAGTTTTAGATTTTCAAATTTTTAAAAAATATTTTTAAAATTGATTTTGAAAACCAAAGTTTTTGCAAAGTTAAATAAATTTTCTTACTTTAGAGTATTACTAAAAAAACAAATATGAACAATTTATTTTTTATTACTATCCATGGAAATTGCCAAACAGCCCCTGTGTAATAAATGATACGTGTCCGTCCCTAGGTGGAAGCAACGGTCGCTACCAAACGGTAAACTTCTTCGAACGTTCCCGCACTGATACAGAAAACGCGACACGTGTCTGCTGGGATTATTAGGCCACGTGTCCCACCAATTCAGTCATCTTTGCAGCTACGAAATTAGAAGTAGAAAGAGTGGGGTAGTTCACTTCCAAGTTCCCAATTAAAGAGTCAAAGCATCCCCACCACCTAAATTATGTGTCTATGTCTATAACGTGTTTGACCTTTAACCTTCGGAGGAAAAAAATCTTCTTGAGGAAATCAATTCTCCCCCAAATAATTCAAATTAGGGCACTCCTCCTTCTCCCCCACAAAAGTACAGTATTGCCCCTAACCACATTTATCATATTGGGATTTTTTTATTATTACTTTTATCCACAATGTTACATTCTCTAATGACATGATAAGAAAAAATAACTGTAAAAAGAATTTTCAAAGAATATTTGAATGTGAGTCAATTTTTCAAATTTTATTTGTCACATCATTTGTGGGGTTTGGAAGGGATACATTGTGCAGATGAATCATTTTTCTATTATTGTTATTATTATTATTATTATTTGCAATTTGGGTTCTTTTATTTTTATTTGAAATTTTTAGATAATTTTTTTTTTGTTGGGAGGAGGAGGGGGGGCGGTTCTTAATAAAATTTAAAAAGTCAATTTCAAATTTATTGTCGAAAGATATCTTTAAACCATTGATTATATTTTTGGATTTAAACCATTTATACCATTGCAAAATTATTGTAAAGATGATTATTTCAGAGAATCTTATCTTGTGAGGAAAGAAATTGGAGGCACTAGGCTTTCCATTCACCTTTTAAAAATATAAAAATATAAAGCTTAACAAAGCTAACTTTATTAATCTAAAACAAACATATAATGGTGTATTGTCAATGATAGAATTAGGAGAAAATTAGAGGGGGTCATGACCTTCCCGTTTATGTGAACATTATTATTTGTCATAGAATTTTAAATATATATATATATATATCATTTTATATATAAAATGACCTCCAGTATAAAAAATATATATGTTATTCTTCTTACATCTTAAATTATCTTTCTATCTATAAGAAATTGCTTCTATAGTATTTAATTTTTTTTATGTATATATAATTTATATATCATACATACATACATATGTGTTTTGCGTATATGGTAAAAAAAATATTTTTCTTTTGGTTCCTCCGATAATAAAATTCTAGTTCTGTCTCTGTGTATCATGTTGGTAAAAATTTAAATTTAGATATGAAAGATATTATTATCACTCATTTTCTTTAAAAATCCACTCAAAGATAATTTTTTTTAAGGTTGCATTGAAATTTTTGTCATGTGTAATTTTAGACACGCAAATAAATTTTATAATTCACTTATATGAAGAAAAGAAAAAAAAAAAGGGGTAGAAATAACATTTCCATATAAATAATAGTCGATGTATACAATATTAATCAAGACAGGATAAGCTCCCTTTCATATTTGTATCTGAGTCCGGATCGTCTGTCGTGGTTGTTTGCTGTGCTTCTTTTCGTTTTGGACCCTTTTTTTTTTTTTTTCCCCCTCTTCTTCTTTTGCTTTTAAGCCTCTTTTTCTTCTCTCTCATCTCTCAAATGTCCAATAGAACCCAATCACACAGAGACAAAGATGGATGGTAAGAGCATCTCCAATGTACTAGGCATATAATACTTGTTAGTTAAAATGCCTAGTGTGATTCACTTTTTTCAATTCCAATGCACTAGGCATATGATTAGGCATTTTGGCTCAACTCATATTTACTAGCTACATGTAGCTAGCCTTCAACGCTAGGCAAAATGTATTCAGTCATTAGGATCATTTCCCTCCATCTTTGTTGTTGACGTGGCATTCTATAAAATTAATAGCATTTGGATAAATAGCTAAAATAAAGAGCATGGTTGGAGTAAAAACATGAAATAATTGATAGGCAAAATAAAATATATACTTTATAGTAATATTTAGATACGTAAAATGCCTACTACCTTTGGAGATGCTCTAAGAGAATGGATTCAACTCAGCACCATCACCAAAATTTGCAAAATTATCTACATCGCTTCCTCTGTTATCCATCTCTCTCCCTTTCTCTCTCTCTTTCTACACACACACTAGCACTAGTATTGTAATGTTAAACCAGATCTGAATTTCATTCAAAAGAAATATCAAAATTGCAGACACGAATACAATTGGAGCGATTCAAGATCAGATCCGAACCAAACTTAGGCCAATCAAACTCAAATCAATACAAATCAAACCACTTCGAACACAAATCTGAGAGATTTAGACCAAAAGAAGGCATCAATCAAAATATATATATATATGTATATATAAGATTTATTTTACAAGAAGTCATTTGCAAAACTATTCGATACAATATTTGCAAGAATATATATTTGATACAATATTTGAAAACAATTTCCCGAATCAAACCAACTGTGTGTTCCCAAAAAAAAAAAAAAACTTCATGAATCAAACCCACTGTGTGTTCCAAAAAAAAAAAAAACTTCATGAATCAAATTTCCTAAATCAAACCAACTGTGTTCCAAAATAAAAAACTTCATAAATCAAACCCACTTTGTGTGTTCCAAAAAAAAAAAACATGGATCACACTTCATGAATCAAACCCATTCGATTTTTTTTTTTTCGGCAAATGATCTTTAATGCTCTATAAAGACGTTTTAAGAAGATTCATTGTTGGAGGCCAATCTCTTGACGGCGATGCAGATCGAAACAGATCTGAGACCATTGGAGTAGATCGGAGGAAGATGACCAAGTTTATCGGCTTCTCTAATCATCCCCGTCAACTCTACCGTCGTGATGAACCTTTTTCCATCCCAATCAAACATCATGAAAAACTTCTCTATTCTGCGGTATTTTCAAACATCCTGAACAACTTCTCTATTATGTGGTGTTTTGAAAATGATGAAGTGAAAGAAAGGCTGAAAGCTAAAGAGGAAGGGGGGGAAAAATGGTCCAAAACGACGTCATTTTGGACCGCCGCAGAAAGCGCCACAGACAATCACGGCAGACGATCCGAACTCATTTGTATCTCTCCATACTTATCTATATTCCTCTTGTGAGCCCAAATTTGGACTCACGTCGATGATCTGAACTGTCTATTTTGTAGGTTCCATAATAAAGGTCATCCATGTAAAATCAATTTCATCAAACATCTATAAATACAAAAATAAGTTACATTTTATTTTATAAAATGAATAGTAAATAAGATTGTAAACTTAAACTATTAATTTTGTAAAATAAAGCATGATTTGTTTTTATGTTTATAGTTGTTCGATAAATCTAATTTTTTGTATAAATAACATTTACTGTAAAGCCTATGAAGTAAGTGATTTGAATCATCGAAATAAGTTTGAATTGAAACCCACAAGAAGAGTATGGTGGTTAAATATAGAGAGATGAAATATAAAAGGAAACTTATCCCAATTAAGACCTGAGTTTAGTAGATCAACTCATCTGGTTTACAACTTAGTGGATGTAAGTTCTATCACGATTATAACAAAGACATTCTATAAAAAGTAAAATAAAAAATAAAAAAAAAAATGACTAAGATAAACAATAAATAGAACCCTATATTTCCTCTCGCTCTCTCTTTCTAAGTCTAAAACTATCAAAAAATTATTTGATCGACACCACACCGGGTGTCCTTCAAAAACTCACATCATCTTCTTTTACAAGTTCATTGGATTAAGTCAAAACCATACAAAATATTCAATGGTAAAAAATTTTGATTTTGAAATCATTAAAAATTAAAGGTGAAAAAAAAAGTAAGGAAAAAATAGAAATTAAGATTGGTTTGAGAATTAATTATTTTAATAATTTTTTAACATTTTATAAAAAAGCGTAATAAAAATTTAAAAAATAATATAATAACTTGTATTAATTTTTTAATTAAAATAATTTATTGACGAAGGAGAATTTACCAACTCTTTATCAAAGTTTTGCTAGAAAGGGGGGCAGGATAGACATTTGAAATGATGAGGCGCCCAAATAAGTGGTCCAAATTGATAAGAAAAACCACGCTGTTGATACACGGGATGGGCCAAAAGACCCGCTTTGACCACCCCGCTTATCAAACAAACCATTCATTATCATTTCATAAACCGCTCTCTCTAAATATGTATATATACCTTTCTTTCTCTCTCTATCTTGTCCTCTGTACACACAATCACAACAACAAAACACAAAAATAATAACTGAGAAACAACAAAATTCGAACGTTATAGAGAGAGAACCATGTCTTGCACCGTTGCAATCTCGAACTCGCCGGTGTTCTCTCCGTCTAGGGTTTCCTCCTCTTTCTTCTGCAAAACCTCCGTCTCTTCCTCCCCTGAAAAAACCCTAACCCTAACCAACTCACCTTCTTCTCCTTCGCTGCCTTCTTCTCCCTCTTCCCCTCTGAGGCTTCTTCGGCTACAGAAGCCGCCCAGTGGGCTCAACAGGGCGTCCAGCGATGCTGTCATTTCCACCTCCTCTTCGATTTCCCCGACGCTTTTGAAGAGGAAGAGACCTGCCAGGCTCGATATTCCGATTTCGTCTGTCGGATTTGTCGCCGCCGGTGGTCCCGGGACGCCGGCGGTGGAGCGGAGAGAGCTGGTGGAGGTTGATAGGGATGGCTACTCTGTGTATTGTAAGAGGGGGAGAAGAGAAGTTATGGAAGATCGGTACTCTGCTGTCGTCAATCTTCAAGGAGATCCCAAACAGGTATTTTGATTTCTGGGTTTTTTTTTTTATCATTTTCTCTTAAATCAAACACACAGCGAAATTAGTTAGTTTTGTTAGTCAAATTATGATGGAGAATTTGAAATCATGTTAAAAATCGAAGCTTTTGCTAGAATTGGAAGGTTTTGTTAGTCAAATTATGATTGAGAATTTGAAATTATGTTAAAAATCGAAGCTGTTGCTAGAATTAGAAGGATTTGAGGTTGTTTTCTTTTTGATTCATAGATTATGTTTTCTAGGTGATTAAGCAACATAAGAATTCAAAATCTGAGACAGAATTGGGTTATAATTTGCTCAAGGAACTTTAATCATCATATTGTTGTATCATACATGAGTCTGATATGTGTTGTACCGTGTTTGTAGGCTTTCTTTGGGATTTTTGACGGGCATGGAGGCACAAAGGCTGCTGAGTTTGCAGCGGAAAACTTGGATAAGAACATTTTAGATGAAGTCGAGAGAAGGGATGAAGTAGAAATAGACGAGGCTGTTAAATGTGGGTATCTGAACACAGATTCTGAATTTCTGAAGGAAGATCTCCGCAGTGGATCATGCTGTGTCACGGCACTGATCAGGAAGGGCAATCTTGTGGTGTCCAATGCTGGCGATTGTCGTGCTGTAATGAGCAGAGGAGGGATTGCTGAGGCCCTTACTTCTGATCACCGCCCTTCAAGAGAGGATGAAAAGGAAAGAATTGAGGCTTCGGTAAGCAGCAGCTAGTGCTTTATTACATATATTCTCTTTTTTCATCAACTTTGATTTGAAAATTAAGTAGTATCTTAGACTTATTTGCTGATGGGTTGCGTGATATGATTTGCAGGGTGGCTATGTAGATTGTTGCCATGGTATTTGGAGAATTCAGGGCTCTTTGGCTGTGTCCCGAGGAATTGGAGATCGACACCTAAAACAATGGGTAACAGCAGAGCCAGAAACAAAAATCCTTAGAATTGAACCCGATTTGGAGTTCTTAATCCTTGCTTCTGATGGGTTGTGGGATAAGGTAATAATGCATTCCAAATTAATATCATTTTTGAGTTTCTTAAAGAATTCTTGAAAGGTAAATCTTAATTGACCCTTTTTTTGCCCTTTATCCTACAGGTTAGTAATCAGGAAGCTGTAGATATTGCTCGTCCTTTGTGCATAGGCGGCATCCAAAAGCCAGAACTGCTCTTGGCTTGTAGAAAGCTTGCAACCCTCTCTATCTCACGAGGCTCCACTGATGACGTTAGCGTGATGTTGATTCAATTGGGACGCTTTTATTGATGATCCCAGGCCAGTATCGTCACTAAATAGCATATTTAACTTATAGTTCGAAGGATCATTGATTTTATTAGTTTTTTATGATGATGACGAAAGGTGACTTTTATATATGATGGAGAACCTCAGCCAGTGCAGTAGTGTAGTTTTGCCTGACCATTCTTGGAGGAACTTTACTATTTATTGTTTCAATTCGTGTAACCTTGACCTTGATCTGTAATCAGTTGATTCTATTATGTAAATTCGATTGCTAACTTATACGAGATTCATGTCTACTCACAGTTTTGTTTAGCACTTGTTCATCTTAAACATCTTTTTGTTTTAGGTTTTAGTGATGTGTCCATTGGATCTTTTTATTGATGCCTCAGGGCAACAGCCATCTGAATCCCTTTAAACACAGACGGCATTTGATCAATTTCAGTGGGTTGTGGGTGAAAAAAATGTAGATGAAGTGAGAAGAAAAATAAAGTCATAAAATTTTGAAATTTAAAATTGTCAATAAAAATTACATAATGTCATAATATTTGACATATTTTAAAATACTTTTACATATTTATATATATATATATATATATTTACATATTTTCTAACACTAACAACCACCTTAAAGGCTATTTTTAGCATTTTTCATAAAAAAACATAAAAAAAAGAAAAAGAAAAAAAAAAGGCAGTTGCAGGGTAATTTGAAAATGAAAAAGTTGTGATGAAGTTTCAATAGGCTTGTTTATTTATTTTTTGGGTAAGAAAGGCAAGGACCTCTTTTCTCTATATTTCCATAGGCTGCAATAATTGAACCTTTTAAGTGAGTTTTATCAATCATAAGGTCTGAATTGTGAGTTCATGTCTTATTGCTGTATGATATAAAACCTTTTTCTTTGTTTACCCTTGATCTGTAATATTTCCATAGGACGATTCGTTGAATTTTTAAACTCTTATGGAGGTTTTATTAATCACTCGGTTTGAAGTTGAGATTGAGTCTGATGTGATACAGTTTTTCATTTTCATACCCTAGTTCCACTCAACCAAATATTGTTTTTATTGAGTTTCATGATAACCGTGGTGCAGCAAATTGTTGATTTCATTTATAATCTGTTTAGATTTTGCGCTTGCAAACAGATTTATAAAGAGAGATTTGTGAGAAAAAAATAACTTTTATTTTTTGAAGTTTTTTCTTTTATTTTTTGTCTCATAAATTTAAGATTCAAATACAATCTGTGCAAGACATTGATAGAATCAGAGCTTTGTGACCAACCAGGCACGATCCAGGAATTTTGACCTGCGAGACAAAGAACTTTGTGAGTGTTGCCAGCCCGGGATTTGGCTGGAGATGCTCCCCTCTGATATTAAAATCAGTAATCCTCTCCAAGGCACCTTCGATAACTACCTCATGTGCTTCTTACTCGGGTCATCCTCATGGTAACAGTTGGGGAACCACTACTTTGTTAGGCTCTCCATCTCCATGAGGGCAATCTATTAGCCCACGTGATTCAAGATCCTTCCCAATCTGATCTCATCCCATGTCTAGGTCTTCTAGTGACGTGTTTCTCCGCGGATGAACTGTCTCCCGCTCATGCAAGCTCATTAGTATCTACAAGCTTTGACTCAAGCATACTTGTCGATACTACCTCGACCAAGGAGAATACGGTTCAAGTTGGATGGTTGAGCATAATCCGCTCAGCATACTAGCCATCTAGTTGTTTCCAATCTGACTTTGTACTATTAGGCTACTCAGCCCAACTCACCTTCGTATCAATCTTACCCCCATTTTCATCAGTCCTTTTATCGTGGCTTGGCTCGGTATCTAATCAGCACAAGCCCACAGGGATCTGACACAAGATCAAATGGGTGCTCGGCCCAAGTCAGCTTTGCCCAATTTTGATTGACCCTCTTCGCCATCTTAATTTGGAGGTAAGTTCTATCACACACTATGTCAGTCGCTGCATAATGTTGTGGTTGAATCTTGAATTTATAGTGACAAATCAATTGAGGGAAAAAGAGAGGCAAAAAAAAAAAATCATGGAAACAATACTACTGTGTTGGAAGGAAGATTTACACACAAGAATATTCATGTGTCTAATTCAACAAGGCATAAATGAGTCTGGTCCAACCAAGTTACCCACCAAATAATTTGAGTTATGCAATTCGAAAAGCAAGACACCTACCACTATAAAAGGAGATTACTCTTAAAAAAAAAGGTAGGCATTAACTCAATTCATTAATGCTTTCTTGATTTTAGATCTCACTATTACCGACTGAATCATCATACTGCCATTTTTTCCCCTACACATACTCTACATGTCTGCCACCAGCCATATATTGAGGCAGTTTGGTGTAGCTTAAAAAAATTGATTGTTTTTAATTTGAAAGTTTGTACCAGACTGTTTGGTACAATTTTTGCTTATAATTTATTAAACAAAAATAGCTTAAATAAGCCAATTATCTGGAAGTTGGGAAATGGGTGCTTGTGACTTATACTTTTTGATTATCAACTTTTAACTTGTAATAATAAGTTGGTTTCTAATATGAATCATATATTTGAGTTTATGCGTCTGTGTGTATATACATATTTATTTTATTTATAAAATCTGTATATGCAGCAGCTTAAGATTTAGGTAGATGTCTGTAAGAACTCCCCTTGTGCTGTTGCTAAAAAAAATGAAATAAAAATGATTCATGAATCCAACAAAGTAGTGTTACATGTGAGTCGTGGCATGATCACCAGGAGAGACTGCCTTAGCTTCTTCCCACTCCCACATCACACGTTCCCTCACATCTGTGCTCTTTGTGGCCTTTCTTTCGTTAGAGCTTAGGCAAGTTGGGTTTGTTGGGATTCCACAGTTATATTGTCATGCTCCGTGTGTTGGATTTAATGCTTATTCTACCCATTTAGGGTGTTTTGGCAACAATATAAATAAGCAACTTATTTACTTATTTGTTACAAGTTATTACATTAATTTTTTATTTTTTATTTTTTTTTTATAAAAAGTCAAAAATCATTAAATAAGCAAACATGGTGTAAACCTATGTGTGTGGTTGGTAAAAAAAACAAAGAAAATTTGTAAGACTTTGTAGTTTGGGAACTTAAGTTTTTGAGGAAGTTTGGGAATCAGATATATCCACCAAGATTTTTCTGGTGATTCTGTGGTGGGGATTAAATTTGTATAAAATGTGGTCTATATATAAAATAAATCTGAATGATAATTTTGGATAAATTTTTTAGATAGTTAATTCTCAATTCGTAATATTATTGATAATTATAACTCAAAATACAAAGGAAAATGATTTAGAATAGTACTGGTGTTCTTAAACTTCTTGTCAAATCATTCTCTCTATTTTTTATTTTGCACGTTTATGTAAAAAATAAAAAAACTATTAAAAAATTAATTCTCAAACACCACTTTAAGAACACCACATCAACCATACCACATACTATTCTAAATCATTTTCCTTTGTATTTTGAGTTAGAATTATTCATAAACAAACATTAATCTGAAGATGATTAAGGTTTGCATGTCAAGCCATTTTTTTATTTAATTTTACGGGGGTTTAAGGGTATGCACTTTGTGTTTGTCGGTCGTTCCGATTCAGTTTACCCCTTTCTTGTCTTGATGTCTCCTTCAACAACCAACCCTTTCTTATTAGTTCCCCTGCATTGCATTGCATTAATGCATTCTATTCCATGACTTTGCTTTCAATTTTACACTACTAGATTATTATTAATGCCAACTGTTAAGCATTTTTAACAGATGGAGATATGAATGTATCATCTGATTTTTATTTTTTTTATTTTTTTCATTCTAAAAATTAAGTACTATTTTTTAGCAGAAAAAAAAAAAATTAAGTACTATTAAATTAAGTGAATATACATTAACACTTTAGAGGGTTACAAATCATCTGGCACTAAATTTATCTGTTCTCTTATTTCAAAAAATTTTACCCTATAAATTATTAAAATTATTAAAATTTTACCCTGTAAATTATTGTTTGAGAGAGTAGAACATAAAAAGAGTTTGGAGACAGAATCCTCCGCCATTTAGAAAATCCTGTTTCAGGATTGTTTGGATTGAATGTAAATCAAAAGGTTAAAGCCACATCAATGGATTAGTATGGTAACTTTTATGTAGGATCATATATATCTATTTTATTATTAATTTAAGCTATCAGACGACTTGACTTGGCTTAATTAAAAAAATCTTAGTTTTGTTTTGTTTACCATGTGGATAATTAGAGAAGTTTTTTTTATTGGTAAAAGCGAACCAACGTAGTTGGGCGAAATGGGTTGTTTCTTGGTATAATTGTGCATTGACCCAACCCATTCTCATCCCTCTTCATGAGTCTATCTCCTTGGACTAAGTTGTTCTCAATTTGAACACATTCATTTCTCTCATATATCTTTTCTTCTTTCTAGATTCTTGCACATCACAATTTGAGGTGGGAAATTCCAATTGGGAGAACCATTACCCTGTTTTCCTTTTCTTGTAGCCAAAGCCCTACTTATCCAATTTTTAAAAAGTTTTTTTGTCCAATGGATGAAAATGAAAAATTGAACTACAAAACCTCTTTATCACTACACTAATCACAGTGATTTTACTTAAAAAATTTAAACCTTTGATTCTGGAAAAGTTATTTGATGGTGTTTTGAAACGCTACATAATCATATGCTCACTTAATAATTGAGGGTATGTGAACATTTAACCACTTAAAAAAAAATTAAAACTCACCTCTTCTAAGATTTATAAATAAAAACGTAATATTCTTTTATAGACAGATAATTTTAGTTAATTTTTGACTCCTATAATAGTAAATGGCACATCCTAAAATTCATGATCCGACACAATTATACACGTAACGAAAAGAAAATCATCTCATCATAAAAATATGAAATTTTTTTAAATCAATGTAACATTCAAAAACTAATTGTAAATTAATGATAAATTATATAAATATTAATAATTATAATTTTTTCATTCGTATTATCCAAACTCTAAGCTGTGTGTGGGCCACCACCATATTTACAGTGTCCCAACTCTTTGGTAAGCTTAGTATTGTTTTGTTTGCCATGTGGATAATTAGAGAAGTTTTTTTTATTGGTAAAAGCGAACCAACGTAGTTGGGCGAAATGGGTTGTTTCTTGGTATAATTGTGCATTGACCCAAAACCCATTCTCATCCCTCTTCGTGAGTCTATCTCCTTGGACCAAGTTGTTCTCAATTTGAACACATTCATTTCTCTCATATATCTTTTCTTCTTTCTAGATTCTTGCACATCACAATTTGAGGTGGGAAATTCCAATTGGGAGAACCATTACCCTGTTTTCCTTTTCTTGTAGCCAAAGCCCTACTTATCCAATTTTTAAAAAGTTTTTTTGTCCAATGGATGAAAATGAAAAATTGAACTACAAAACCTCTTTATCACTACACTAATCACAGTGATTTTACTTAAAAAATTTAAACCTTTGATTCTGGAAAAGTTATTTGATGGTGTTTTGAAACGCTACATAATCATATGCTCACTTAATAATTGAGGGTATGTGAACATTTAACCACTTAAAAAAAAATTAAAACTCACCTCTTCTAAGATTTATAAATAAAAACGTAATATTCTTTTATAGACAGATAATTTTAGTTAATTTTTGACTCCTATAATAGTAAATGGCACATCCTAAAATTCATGATCCGACACAATTATACACGTAACGAAAAGAAAATCATCTCATCATAAAAATATGAAATTTTTTTAAATCAATGTAACATTCAAAAACTAATTGTAAATTAATGATAAATTATATAAATATTAATAATTATAATTTTTTCATGCGTATTATCCAAACTCTAAGCTGTGTGTGGGCCACCACCATATTTACAGTGTCCCAACTCTTTGGTAAGCTAAGACAAGTTATTATTAATAGGCAAAGTTAGGGAAGGGCCAAACATGGAATTAGATACAGATATAGGATTATTATATAGATAATATACGATTTTGGAATTAGATATATAGTTGTTCTTAAGACAGATAATTTACAGTGTCCGATCTGTAAAGCTGTCCTAATCTTTCAAAAGATACCATGGGATCTATTGAGTATATATGTTTATTTGCTGTATATAGATATAGGATTTTGGAGGAGATTTGAGAAAGAATTTGGAAAGAGAAATAGAAAATATGTGAAATTAAGTGCTCGTTTGGCTAAGTTTTGGGGATTAAGAAAGTACAAAAAGACAAAATAAACTATATAAGTCAATAAGACAAAATATTACTTTTTATCCATAATCATTATATTTTTCCTCTCACAAAAGTCAAAAAAATCTCAAAACAAAAACCAAACGAGACTAAAAAAGCCAGGCTAAAAAAGTTAGCTATATTAGCTAATGCTAAACGACCCCTAAATAAATATATGTTTTATTCACATTTTAACTATCATTTTTTTTTTTCCTTTTTAAATTCCTTCTCAAATTTTTTAATCAAACACAATGTCAATGTATATATTATAGAGTATTATATTATAAAGATATTGAATGGAGCCTAGTTGTGCATAGGGGTGTGCATAATACCGCCGAAACTGCCAAAATCGCACCGAACCGCACCGCCAAGGCAAATTCGTTATTATTTGCCAATCGAACCGCCGGTTTTTGGTAAAAAAAATGGCAAATTCTACTTACACTTTTATCAATCCGCCGGTTTCTATTTTTCTTCCAAACCGCACCGACCCGCACCGCTATTAAATGATGTTTTATAAGATTCTAAAAATTCTTTTTTACTTAAGTTTGCTTGTTGTTCTATACCTTAGAATATAGTATTACATTACTGCTCGAGGGGAATTCAAGATGTCAGTAATCCAAAATAAAGTTGGATTCCAATTCACTTTTCAATCTTTTTTTTTCTGGCCATGTTGCAAACTTGCATCAGCTCACTTTTCAATCTAAATACTTTTCAACAGTAAACATTTTCAATTTTTTTTTTTTTTTTTTCTGGCCATGTTGCAAACTTGCATCAGCTCACTTTTCAATCTAAATACTTTTTAACAGTAAACATTTTCAATAAATTGTAAACCCTGAATGATATAATTTAATGTATTGTATTTGATCATTGTAGCTTCCACATATTCTTGTAATGAACTGATGGCATAGTCGTTGATATTATCATGTTATTGCTACACTTGCTACATCAGAAGAAAGTTTCGCAAGATGCTTAACATCACGATATCTCTCGTCTTTTTTTTACTCTTTGATTTAAGTTTTGTAATTTGAATTATATTTTTTATAAACCGCCAATCCGCCCGAACCGCCAAGGCAAATCCGCCATTATTTGCCAACCGAACCGCTGGTTTTTGATAAGGAAAATGACAAATTCTAGTGACACTTTTATCAATCCGTCACCCGCCATACGGTTTCTATTTTTCTCTCAAACCGCACCGACCCGCACCGCGCACACCCCTAGTTGTGCACGTCAATGGACTTCGTTGTATTGTATATGTAGCAACATAGCCAATTTTGTGTCCCTTTTTTGGTGGTTATCTGCCTGGACCACCCCCCACCACATTCCCACTTTCATGTTCCAGTGTACCACGTCTCCACATACTTCTCTGATCATCCTCATCACCACCGTCCAAACAATATCAATCAGCTTACCAAACTCAAAATTATGTGGCCAAAATCCTCTTCTCTTAACGGCCTCACAACATTCACGATTATTGAATCAGGTGAAATCTTCAAGATAAAATAATCTCAAAACATGATTTAAGCTTTGTTTAGTGTAGATAGATTAGTCAAGGTTAAAAAGTTACTAATCAAAAAACAGAAGTTAAAAACATCTCTTCTTTAACTTTTAGATAATTAATTTTTTTTTAAACTTATTTAAATTATTTCTGTTTAATAAATTATAAACATCAAATAATTTGACACGAATTTCTAAATTAAAATAACTTATAACAAATTTGTTGTTAATATTTTAATAATGAGATAGATCGACATTTAGGCCTCGTTTGGGAACATACTTTTTTAGTAACTTTTTGGCTTTTTAGCTAAAATGTGATGTAAAAAAAACTAGTATGTTTGGGATGATTTTTTGGCTTTTTAAGAAAAGATGTGCAAAAAGTAGAGAGAAAAGAGAATCTTTGACTTTTTGATATGGGTTGTTGGCTTTTTGGTTTTTTTAGTAACTTTTTGACTTTTTGGCTAAAAGGGACACTTGCCAAACGAGACCTTAATATCAAACTTTATAACATGTCAAACTTTTATTTGATTTCTGGCTCAACTTTGGCCATGCACGATTAATCACTAAACAAATATTAAGGCCTTATTTGAGAATAAGTTATTTTAATAATTTTTTAATTTTTTAATTAAAATATGAGATAAAAAAAAAATCATATGTTTGATATGACTTTTAAATTTTTTACGAAAAGTTATGCAAAAAAGTAGAGAGAAAATAGAATCTTTAACTTTTTAGTAGATGTTATAGGCTTTTTAATTTTTTTAATAACTTTTTAACTTTTAAACTAAACCTATTACACGCCAAACGAGACCTAAGTATAATAGTAAAATCATCCCACCTAATTGGATCCATTTTGCTTTTTGCATAATTCATTAGTTGATTTTCATCAATTCTATTTGGTCATGTTAAGAATTGTTAGGCCTTGTTTAGAAACAGCTTTTTTAGTAATTTTTTTTTAATTTTTTTACTAAAATATGAGATTAAAAAAAAATTAATATAGGGTGTTTTAAAAAGATAGTAAAAAGTTGACTTTTGATTTTTTACTAAATTTTTTGGTTTTTTTAAAAAGTGATTTGGAAAGTTGGTTAAGAACTGCTTTTGACTTTTTTAATTAATATTTATTTATGATGTCACATCACAATAAAATGACTAAATTATCCCATCCAATTTAAAAAATTTATATTTTCACCTATATATAGCGCTAAATAATATAAAGGGTATAATTATAATTTTATATGTAAATTTTTTAAACTTACCAAATAATTCCATAGCTGAAAAAACCATCTAGCTTTTTTAGCTCCCAAATTGCAAATGCAGCTTATTTATGCCGAAGTAACCCAAGTATGTCTAAGATTATTTAGGTCAAGTTTGGGAAGTCCCAAATAATTTATTTTTTTATCTTTTTTTTCATCACATCACCTCTTTATTTTTTTATATATTTTGTCATAAAAAGACAAAAAGTACACTTATTTAGGACATCCCAAACAACCCCTTATTTTGAACATATTATTTCTTCATTCTAAAACACACAGAACATAATGTGAGATTTTTAAAGTACAAAACGTTTAAAATAGAAAAGTTAAAAATTCATGTCAAGGGAATCCATTATGTTGACAAACTTCACGAGTAAGAAAAAAAATTGGATCGTCGGTGAATCCAACGGTGAAGATCTCCCAACCACCACGTGGATAAGGATAAAACCTGTTATCGATATCAAATTTTAGTTCATGTCCCAAAAACTCTCTCAACGTCACCAAACCGTTTTCGCGGATAATTTCCAAATCACAAACTTTACACTCATATAAATATAGACGCCACTAAGCAAAACCCAAAACAAAGAGGTGTTTTTCAGTGTTTTCAAATTTTGGAGAGATGGAAAATTTGAAGAGACCATGGGTCAGAGGGAGCTGTATTGGCAGAGGATCGTACGGTACTGTCAGCCTCGCGGTCAACAAATCGGACGGCCAGGGTAAAGTTTTCGCTGTGAAGTCCGTTGATCTGAGTTCGTGTTTGAAGCCTCAAGCCGACGCTTTGGAGAACGAAATTCAAATTCTTCGCTCTCTTTCTTCGCCGTGGGTGGTGAAGTACCTCGGCGATGATTTGACGGCGGAGCAAGGCAGCACGACGTCGTTTCGGAACCTCCACTTGGAGTACTTGCCAGGTGGCACCGTCGCTGACTTGGCAAAACGTTATTCCGGCGCTGACGTGGATGAGGAAATTGTCCGATCGTACACGTGGTGCGTCGTCTCTGCGCTGAAGTACGTGCACGCCATGGGCATTGTCCACTGCGACGTCAAGGGCAAGAACGTGTTAGTGGGACCAACTCACGGCGGCGCAAAGCTCGCCGATTTCGGCTCTGCTGCGGAGATCTCAGCCGCATCGCCGCCGTGTGGAAGTCCGCTGTGGATGGCACCGGAGGTGATTCGCCGGGAATATCAGGGGCCGGAGTCGGACGTGTGGTCGTTGGGGTGCACAGTCATCGAGATGGTCACCGGAAAGCCGGCTTGGGAGGACCACGGCGGCAATACGCTTTGCAAAATTGGGTACTCCGACGAGTCGCCTGAGATCCCGACTCAGTTATCGGAACTGGGTCGAGACTTCCTCCATAAATGTCTCCGGCGAGACCGAACCCAGCGGTGGAGTTGCGATCAGCTGTTGCGCCACCCTTTCGTATCGTCATCAGCACCGTCGAATTCGATTACTCACCAATCGCCTCGTTGCGTGCTCGATTGGTTGAATTCAGAGTTCTCCGATGAAGAGAAAGAAGAAGATGAATCGAGGTTGGAATACGAAATTCGAGCTCAGTCTGGTAGAGGTAGAATTGGGAAATTAGCATCGAATGAAGGGGCAATTTGGGAATCTGATGGTTGGGTGGTGGTGAGGAATGTGAGCACTGACGAAACAGCCGCAATTTCGGAGCCATCATGTTGTTGTGGGGACGAAGAAGAAGAAGGGACGAGTTCGAAATATTTGAATTTTACGAGGACCGAACAGCAAATAGAAAATTTTGATTTCGGTGGTGACGGTGATGCGGTGGAGTGTGACGGTGGTGGGTGGTTGCGACCGTGGGATTGGGCGGTGGTGAAGACTGGAAGCAAGGTCATTACAGCTGGTGTAATTTTTTTATTATTAACTTCATTGTATTTGACAGCAATAATATGTATCCTATTACGTTTTATAATAATATTACATTCCATATTATTCACATTTTATTTGAGACATCAGTCTGTCCATCTGACACCCTTCCCCAAGCTTCCAATATTATTATTATTTATTTCTTAAGAATCTTATCCCAAGTTGAAAATCAATAGGGTATCAACTGCGTGGTCTTTTATTTTTCTATTATTTTTTAAAAAAATTTATGGTATATAGCAAGAATATCCCATGATTTGGTCCAAGGTTTAGCTCTTTCTTTCACACAACATTCTACCAACGATCGTTCCAACCAAACAATTATTGGCTACATTTTTTGGCAATTTTTTAGCAGATTATTTCTTTATTTTTTTGTGCTTTTTAAAAAAAAATGAAAAAGTTTTACACATTTATTAAAAAATTCATTAAAGAAAAAAAAATTTACTCTTTTTAAAATTAATTCCAAACATTCACTACATTTATACTATTTTATAAAGTGTTTCTCTTCATGCCATATGTCACGTATTTTTTAAAGTAACCTTGAGAAAGAAAACTTTTATCATTTGAACCGCACACATTATAATATCAGTTAATTAATTATTTTTTTATTTTTATTTTTATTTATTTAAATTGTACATATATCGTATATGTTAATTGTATATTATGCATTTGTGTAGATTTGAGTAAATAGTGTGATTGTACTAAATAAATATATAATTTATGATGTTATAATGTCACTCAATGCTACTAAATAATTTCTCCATCAAACCTGAACTAGAGGTGGATTAGAAAGGAATATTTCATCCTAAATTCTTGATATGAAATGAACAAACTTTACCAATCAAACATACTAAGATATTTTTTGAAAAGGTCAAAAAAAGACTGTTTGTTAATTTATTAGTTTATTTGAATCACATCATCTCTTTATTTTTTATTTTTTTATTTTCATAACAAGCCAATAAATTTTTTAAAAAAAAATTCTTTCCCAAAATAGGCCTAAATTGAATTATTTGTGAACAAGTTCATACAAAAAAACAAAAAATTTGCAATTAGCATGGCCACTAAAATCTTGGAGTGGGACAAGTGGGTGGGCAATGATTTGGGCCACAACAGCTTTGCGAGTTTGAGAGATTTGTACTGAGTTGCTTTTTAACTAACAACAAAGTTGTTTTCACGCGGTTAGTTCTCACAAGTCGCAACAAACAAACAATCATAAGAATTTTTTTTCAAGAAACCGAGTTATCAAAAAATAAAGCAACAAAAAGTCTTTTCATGATGGAGTTGTATTGCATCAAAATTATCTTCTAGGGAAAAAATCCTAATGCCGTAAATGTCTGAATGAGCTGTTACTGGAAACACTTTTTTAACTTTATGCAAATGCTTTTCTTGGCGTAAGCTGAAACTACACTCGTTGTAATTTCTTACAAGTTACATCTTCAATAATCTTTTGTAAAATTTATCCCTTCATGTTAATATCTGGCGTGCCATAGGATTAGTCTCTAGAACCAATTAAACTACTCGATTTGTTTAGAATAATCTAAATAAGTGTATTTTTTAACTTTTTACGAAAAAATATACAGAAAAATAAAAATGTGATATGACCCAAAAAAATATAAAAAAATAAAAAGTGTGCTTATAAAATTTTGTTTAAGATTAATTTGTTATGTAAATATGTTAAGTTTAACACATTTATAGCTGATCAAAAAAAAAAAGTTTAACACATTTATAAATTTTAAATTTTTTAAATTTTAACTCAAACTCAACTCGATAAATTTATATATATATACACTATAAAATACCAAACTATTCTGTTTTAGCTTTATCAAAATTTATTTGAGATCGAATCAAAAGACCCTTCCAATTGATTCTTGGTGTGTCAATCAAGGCAATTTAAAATCAGACAAAAGGAAAATGTCCGCCAATTCGCTAGCCAAATTGCAGTATGTGACTGAATGATCTATAATTCCGTAATTGATGCAGTGATAAATACTAAATAAAATTTAATGAAATAAAGCAATCTACAAGAATTACAAAGACTATATTACTTTGGACCACTTTGGGGGTATTTGTTGCAGCTTTTCAAAGCTAACTTATGGCTTTTAACTTTGAAAAAATTATTTTGGACTGTTTGGTTAAACTTATTTCAAACAGCTTTTGATTCTAACAGTTTATTTTAACTCAAAAAAGCTAATTCTAAGAAGCTGTTCACCCCTTACTTCTGATTATCAGCTTCTGCTGTGGACATGTTAATTTATGGTTATACTCTTAAATTTTTTTATTTTTATTTTTTTAAAAATAGAAAAAGACTCAAATGGACTATAGATTATTATTTCTTTTTTATGAGAAATGTAGACAAACAAAAAATAAAAATTAATTGAAAAAGCTATTTCACAGCTTATTTAACAAACACTACTCAGCAACTTAAATCTGTAAACCAACAGCTACACCAAACAGATTAACAACTTCTGATTAAAGTCATAATCTATAATTTATTTTATAATTTATAAGTTGTTTTAAGAGGTACACCAAACAGAGCCTTTGATTGCAACTTATAATTCAATTCACAAGTTACCAAATAAGTTAAAGTAAAATAAGTCATCTCATCTTTCATATATTTGCCTTTTGGTTTTGTAATTACGAAAAAGTGGGGTTATTTGTGTGGGGACATATTTTCTGAATACCAACACGTGGCATGGTGACGCCGACGTGTCAGCCGAGGTGCCACATGCCCTGGTAGTTAAGCCGAGGTAATCTTGGAGAAGCCGAGGTCATCTCCTAAGATGTCGGAATCCGAAGATAAGGACAAGAGTCCTAAGACGGAGAGGGGACTTGACCTTGGATAAGGATAGAACTCTTAGGGAGTTTATCTTTATCTCTTTAAGAATCCAAAGTAAACATTGAGATGAAGTTCATAGAAGTCATACTTCTATTGGGACTTGGATTGAGTATATTATAAAAAAGAGGCACCCCCATGGGTCTAAGGTATGCAATTTATGTTTTGAATATTCAGTTTAGCACTTGATTATCTTTGAGAGATATACTGACTTGATCGTCGGAGTGCCCCCGGGTGGAAGAACCACCACATGTAAAACAAACTTATTGAAATAAATTAAACAGCCCCTAAATAACATACAATAGTGCTGAAATTAA